ATGGCACTAAAAATCACCATCTTTGTAATTTGTGTTTCAGGCCTATCTGCCTTCTTACATTTAAGACATTTGTCAGTTCTCATTTACTGCTGCTGAAAGGAAAGATGGAAACTTCAACAGAAATGCAAACAATAAGGCAGGGGGCCATCTAGGTAGTTGTCCTGCCAAGTCCAATCACAATAGAGACAAGATTGTGATTACTCAATGTCCTGACTGGGTTCAGAGGGACCAGAGGAGCAGTGCAGAGAGATGCTTACACGTAATTAATAGTTTAAGTGCGTTCTTATAATTGTAGAGGCTGTGGGATCGCGCTAGTACCTCCGTGTCCCGTCATGTCAACACTGTCACACCACCTCAGCCCTGGTCGCTCTATCAGGACTCACCAAACAGATGGGTACTGCCCCCTCCTCCTCCGCTGCCCTTCCGCTCCATCACTCTAATGCACCACGGCACTGTGTTCACTGCTGCGGAGGCCTGACATAATCTAGGCTCTATTCTCTCCACCAATTCCCCACTCACTCACTCTCATTTTCTTTCTTAGTTTAAATATAGATCCCTATGGTGCTTCTTCGGCCCGTAGGGTGTTTATTGTTATGAACACTCAGTACATTCGTGTTATTGTACTTAGTTTATTTCAATAGAAAACATGAGTAGTAGTCCTGGGTAAAAATTTGAGTTTGATGTTTTTACCATATGTTTTTGTAAGGGAATTTGTAGTGAATCCTGGAAGGTGTTGACATTTCTCTCAGCAGTTAGCTTAATCTCTTTGTTTTTTTCAGTCTGACTACTTTTATGTTGACTATACTTTTACCTGAATCTGAATTGTTTTTTTATTTTGCAGTGTTGCTGAGAAGGGAGCTGAGGGCTGTAAAGATCTTATTGAGGCCTTTGCTGCTTGTGTAAAGAGTGCAGCTGAGGGGACGTCATGAGGAGGCACCCTCCCAACTCAAATGTGAGTCCTCAAGTGTTCTCAGTTTTTAATAGAAAATAAAATGTCAAATAAAATCTTCTATGTGGATGTTCTTAATACTATACAAACAAAGTTCTAATTGATTTTTTTACTTGAATAACTTTGAGACAATGCACAGGATTATTACGTGACATTATTTTGTTTGTGTCTTTCAGGTCCACTGCACTGAGTCCTGTAAGTTCCCAGCATTCCCTCCTGCACAACAGCTCTGGACTGACTGAGACCATCATGGCGGAACACTGTGTTGATTCAAGTTTTGGGATGTGGCCGCAGTACCATCTCCCCCCTCCTTCTGTCTTACGCCTTCCTCCCTTTCCCTCTATGGCCCATTTATAATACATCCACTTAGACGATTCCATGGAGCTGATGGGCTGTAATGTCGACTGTGACTTGAGATAAATACTTATAAATGGAAATAAAGGTATCAAATACTTGATAGAAAAAACAATCTAGGCTCTTTGTGCTTTTGTTAAATTGCATAGATAATTAATTAAATATAAGTATGCTATTCACTACCCCAGTTAATTCACATTAAACCACATAATGGATCGTATCTGGATGCATTCACAGTTGACCTGGTTTGGTCTTGTTTTGTTCTGATGGAATTGTGGTTTAGCCTCTTTTTAGTCTGTATTTAGTATTGATATGTGTATGCGTGTGAAAATGTGAATGCACTCTAATCAAGCATACAAAGTGAAATTATCTATAACAAATCTCTAAGATGGAACCCTTTGACAGACCAACTTGACTGACTCTCAGGGTTCCAGCTGAATTGGTTTATTTTGCCCTAAAGTGTAACTAAACCCAAAAATATTTTTAGCTGATTAAATGTTTGAGGGCACATAACACATGCACACACTCTGGTCATACTATAGGCATTTTAGAGTAGTCTGATTTTACTCTTCATTCAAACTTCATTACTTCAAACACATGTTCTAAACCTCTGCTAATTTACCTATTTTACTTATTCATTATATGTGTCCCATTTTAATTATTCACTGTAGGCCTTCATGTTGTCAGGTGAAGTCTTAGGATCAAACCAATAACTTCCTTAGTCCTTCCCCTGTGGTAGTATAGTTATTAGTCGTTGTTTTCCAGGAGGAGGAGACAGCTTAGAGGTAATGCATAGTATCAATGGGGGCCCTGTGTAACGTGTGTGATGTGTAAATACTATGTCAGACATGTTTAAACACCATATGGTTACCATGGTGACAGGAATGTGAAAGGACATACTGTGCAGCCCTCTCACACGTGTGTAACTGGAGCCTGCATCTCAAAGTACTACCGGTTTCCCATTTAGCAATAGCCTGATAAATGCACAATATTGAAGATGTGTTGTCCAGAGATGCACTGCAGATAGTCCAGCAGCACCCCAGGGTGTCAAATGCCACAAACTCCTACTCTGTGGGTGGGGACAATTTCTGCCTTATTTCTCACAGACAAATCAACAGGCCACAGGCTTTGTGTCATGATGTGTAGAGACGTGCCCGATATATATTACAGCTAAATGACTCCTTTCCAGTGTAAATCATGTGCAGTTAGATCTTTTACCCATTTGACAAGTACACAAAAGAATGGTCATGTGACAATTTTGAGCCAATCAAATGTTTTCCGATAGAAGGTCGACTACAGGAAATTCTTACTGGCTGTTGCTGTACTGCTGGTGTTCTTGATCTAATACTGGATTTGGAGAATTGTGCAACGTTATCTAAAAATATTTGATTTGCACTTGAAGATAATGAAAAACATTTTAGTTAGACTAAGAAATGCTCAGGGGTAATTTTTGAAGCCAGTGATTAAACAGCTCAGTGAGTTCCTACAGTTCTACATTTAAGTATTTATTCAGGGCATTCATTTGTCATTCAGGAGGTGGAAATTCCCAGAAAGTTGAAGAATTTCCTCTGAGCCTGGGGGTTCAAAGCCAGTTCCACTGTTTTCACTTAAAACATTTTCGACAACAGAACTCTGTACCTGTTATTGTCTCAGAGCTCATCTAAAGGTTTGTGCTTGTTTTTGTCTCCCTGTTTGTACATGTACATACAGATTAGACTAATTAGTTACATTCATACAGATTTGTAATTGTGGCCCCTTTTGGCCCACCACATCATCATTATTTCAAAAACAGATTTAAATGAAACCTGCTCACACTATTTTGGCCTAGATATAAATAGTAGGCTAAAACATAGGCCTATTGCTGAAAACAACGGAATAATAAGACATAATAAGACATTTACTGATTATGGCTCATTGACTGTTAATAAATTGTAGCAAAATAGCGCCCTCGTGTGGTTAATCTAGGTAAATACATTGACATTTTTACAGAAACATTTCAGTACTAACATTGCACAGAGAAAAATTGATTATAAAGATTTTAAACACACTGTATAATCATGACTCTATTATGAAACCATGTCACCTAATGATAATATAAATTTATAACCGCATCTGTCTTTTGTTATTTGTTAGTTTATGTTGTGCGCACCGCGGGATAATCTGAGATCCAACAATAGATTACAGGAGATTAAACATCCTGCGCACGGAACAGTGAGGACCCTCTCCGCGTGCAGGGTTTGGACTGGTGCACTCATATCACCCCCTAAAGATGTTTATAGGCCTACACCACCAAATGATCAACTATAAAGACTCTCTCTCTCTCTCTCTCTCTCTCTCTCTCTCTCTCTCTCTCTCTCTCTCTCTCTATATATATATATATATATATATCCTATTGTAAACTGGATAGATTAATATTATTCATGTTTTGTAGGACTGCTTCGACCTTGGAAATAGATCTAATTTAAATCATAGATCCGTATTTTAAAAACATAAAATATTGGTATTATGCAAGTAAACTATGTGGTTTTAAGTTTTATGTTATAAAAATAATCAAACTGAATTGTTAATTGTTGGTTGTAAAAAGGTTTTATCAGTAATATGAAGTCGTTATTCAAGTTATTAACCTGCATTGTTGATATAAATATACCATATGTACAGTTTTATTGGCTAATATTTCAAAAACTTGGTCAAGACATGCAGCGTGGTATGCTATTTATAACACAATTTACAAAGTTTGCGTTATAATCTCTTAGATCTTATTATTATGCATGTTTTCCGCAAAGAAGTTAGCTCTTGTCTCGTCTACTGTGCGTGTGTGATGATGATCTGTTCTGTGCATGTAGCCCCATGATGTAGCCTGGACCATGTGCTACTTCCAGATCTTTCCTCCAATCACATCCCGCCTGTTTTTTGTGCGGTCGAAAAAAGGGTGGGTGCTTTGCAGGGGAGGGATGGATGCTTGGGAGGGTGGAGTGGTACCCGGATGCTGACTACTGGACAGCAGCAGGACGGTGGGAGAGTGGTGTGAAGGAAAAAACATCTCGACCAGGGGAGAGAGACGGGATATTTACGGGACATGGGCACTTCGGAGCTGTCTTTACGTTGCGCGTAAAGCAGACGGTGGGGGGTGTAGCAGGGGAGGGGACGCAGTGATATCATGAGCACATCCGGCCTCGGGGAGAGAGCCACAGAAGGACGAGGGGACCTGAGGATGCCAGTTTCTGGAGTAAGCCGCATATTTGACCTCTTTTGTCGCATAAACGGAAGGTGCGTTTTGGTTGCTGTTTGCTAAAAAGCTCTACCCCTCATCTTCTATTTCCTGATGCGAGGCCAGGGAGGGGGTGAGCCAAAGAAGTGTGCACCGGATATTGGAAAACCCATTCTTCTGGTTGATACTGTTGTTATTATAGATAATAATCTGGACAACGCGTCGCCTGCTCACAATTTGAACACATGAAGGAGTATGAAAGGTAAATGTTAAGTATATTATGCGTGCTTGCTTTAGGGGTGAAGAAACGAAGGGGGTCCCTGACATCGACCAGGCCATTCTGACTTGGGATATTTGAGACTGTGCTCTTACAGAAATCAATGTGTGGTAAATGTAGCCTTCCTGTCCATCCTGGAATAACATCTCGGACTTGCTCCATTGAAAGGACGCTCAAACGACAGCCCTTCTTTTATGTGGACACCTCTATTCTTGTAGTTTTTGTGTGAGGATGCTACTTTCTGGATTGGACTAAGACACACCTCAACTGCATGACAAGCAAGTGCAAGGGAGTAGCCTGCAGGGCCCGGCTTCCCATCACGACCAGCTCCTCTCCACGCCGCCTGTGATCGCCTGTGATGTGCGTTACGGCGTTACGCACGCAGCACGACTCATTCCTATAGTTTGATCTTGCCTTACAAATATATCACGGTGACGGACGTAAAAGGTTGGTGGAGAAGGATGAGCAGCAAGGAGCTGACGGTGGGCCAGTCCAGTCAGTACGTGGGGCCCTACCGGTTGGAGAAGACCCTTGGAAAGGGACAGACAGGTAAGAGAAGAGGAAATATAGATTATAAATTGTATTTCATCCAAAGCTTCTATAGGAGGAAGTACAGTTATAGTTTTCATGTTTGATGTTGTCAGATTTAAAGTGATATAGGCAAATCTCCAAATCCTGTCCCCTATTTCATTTAGGTATTGCTCCGACTAGAAATTCATCCAACTGTTTTCTTAGAAAGTTTCTGTTAGTGGTGCTTTGCTGAGGACCTGACAGGCCAGATGGACTGTTACACTGGCTGTAGCAGAAATCGTCTACATAGTGCTGCAGAAACATAACTGAATGAAGATGAGCTACCATTACTGACAATAATCTAACCTTCAACAGATGAACACCTTGTCACATTGCCATGAACAATTACAACTACAGAATGATATTGCACAAAATAATAAACTAGAAATATTAGTAGAACTATTTTGTCATGTATTATAAATGACAGGAGGTTGTGTCTTAAAAGTTGAAAATTAGATGAAAATTAAAGACTGGGAAGAATGTAACAAACTGATCAGCTTTGTTTTAATTAAGATTTCAGTTAATTAGTAACTCTAGACTAACAAATCAATACTAAAAGGACACCAGCTATGGCCTTAAGTCTCCTTTGACCTTTTAAATGTCACGCCAGGATTTGTTTTTGTCCAGAAACAACTTTTCCTCTCAATGATGTGTGTGTTTGTGTTCCAGGGCTGGTAAAACTGGGGGTCCACTGTATAACGGGACAGAAGGTGGCCATAAAGATTGTGAACAGAGAAAAGCTCTCAGAATCTGTGTTGATGAAGGTACAGTATCCATCGTTATCGTGCACACCCTTAAGTCTGCTGCAATGGTCTGTGTTCTTCTGTGCTCCAAACGGCAGAAAATAGCATCACAAATGGAGAGTTTTTTTATGTCTGTCAGGGAAAGCCACTGGTGTGTTGGAAGTTGGAAGTGTGGAGTGTGTGGGTAGTGCTTCTGTAAACCCAACAATAGAGATGATTTGGCTGCACTAATTGAGGGCTCAAATATAGCAGCCATAGCTAAGCGGCTGTACTCAAATGCATACGGCATGACTTATTCTGCGGGTGGTATGTTTAGTTGTTGATATTCATCTGTTTGAGAGAATAGCCAAGTGGTGTTGTGGAGGTACAGTGTCAATGTCACTCAACCTAACCTATACAACCAAACAACCCAAAATGATATATATATATATATATAACAAACTTCAACTGTTAGAAATAAAATAACACAAGTTTTGTTAACTTTACATTATTAGTTAGTCTTCATGTATATATTCTGTCCCATCTCCACACAGAATGAGCACAGTGAATATATTTAAGACTATTTAAGGTGATTATGTAACTTTTCTGTTGGGGAGGTTTCCCACATTGTATTTGCAGAGGTCGCTGATACTAGGCTAGTGCATGTCAATGGCCATAGTTAGCCTGCCACTAAAAACAGTCTTACCCACTCCACAAAACACCCGAAGCAAATCTATTATATTGCGAAACTGTTGATGTGAATGTCTGTGTTGATAGACTAATTTTAGAAGTAAAACCAACCTTGCATTTGAAGGATTTATGTTTGAGCAGCAGCAGTGAGTTGTACTTCTTGATAGAAAGCTTGGCAGCGGCGGACTGATATATGAGAAAATAGTCCCTCAACATGAGACGATTCATACGATGCTAGGTTAGTTTTATTTCAAACATTATTCTATCAACACAGACATTTACATCGACAGTCTAGTGTAATAATTTATTTGCTTCAGGTGTTTTGTGGAGTGGGTAAGACTGTTTTTAGTGACAGGCTAACTATGGCCATTGACATGCACTAGCCTAGCAACAGTGACCTCTGCAAATACAAGAACTAGATGGAATTTTTAAAAAAGTGTCTCCACACATCTCCAACACTCTGGCTCACTAGGAAATGAGGCCCTGTGTCCAAAATTCTGAACTGTCCCTTTAATGCTTTGCCTTGAATGCCCCACAGTATGGCATTAAATATATCCTTCTTATGTTTAGTACATTAAGTGTGTTTTTATTGCTCAAAAGTACCTGGAAAAGACATTCTTAGTTTGAGTGAGCTTACCTCTCCAGAGATCTGACCAGTAAATCACCCTGGTCTCACTACCTGCTTTCTCCATGGAGATTAATGCCCTCCTGTGGAACATTCCAGGCAGTCTTCAAGGAAACAAGCAGCTGGCAAGTTGCACTGAGAAGTTACACAGTGCACCTTTAATGATAAGAGAGCAAAAACAATATTACAGTGTCATGTTCAGGTCAAAAAATGTTATTAACCTGCATCAAATATTAAATATACATAATGGTGGTAAACATTCACTAATGCTGTTGAGGAAATACAAATTAGACAAAATATTGGAAAGTCTCTGCATCAAATTTTGTAATGTTTTTAATTTTTCTATGCATTTTTTCATTTGCTGGGTAATATAATCTGTTGTGTATATTGTGAAGTTATAGTAATAGATTTTTTGGGCTGTTATACTTGAACATTTGCAGGTTGAAAACACAAAACCATTAAAGTTATCTTCAGTATCAAAATTCTACTATCTTGCTTGCATTATCTGTTATCTAACTGCTTATATGCTCCCCATACTTGCTATTGGTTTTCCACTCATCCAAATTAACATGGTGTAATTACTGTTTACTATTTAAATTACTTATTTACTGTTAATTCCTTACTGTTTTACCATCCTCTTCACATTTCCACAACTTCAGCACTCCCCTTTCTCTTAACTTCTCCCCGCCTCTCCTCTCCCTTCTATCTTTCCAGGTGGAGAGGGAAATAGCTATTCTTAAACTAATCGAGCACCCTCACGTCCTCAAGCTGCATGATGTGTATGAGAATAACAAATATCTGTGAGTATCTAATCTCTGCTCTCCTCACTGAAGCTTCTATCTCCATCATCTTTGGGACTGGACATCTGCCAGCTCAAATACAACTTGAGTTTAAGACAAAGCATGGCGAGGTTGGCAAACATTAAAGTTGACAGTGATTTTGTTATGGTTTTGCAGGTATTTGGTGCTGGAGCATGTGTCTGGGGGAGAATTATTCGACTACCTAGTGAAGAAGGGTAGACTGACCCCCAAGGAAGCAAGGAAGTTTTTCAGACAAATCATTTCAGCCCTCGACTTCTGCCACAGTCATTCTATATGGTTAGTGGCTATATTATATTCTTAGAGATAGATTGATTAATTAATGTGGAACAATTTTCTTAAAAAGTTTTAAATATAGTCTTATTATCTTAGAACATTTTCCCTGGTTTGTGTTGACGCTAACTAAGCATTTGATTGGTGCAGTCATAGAGACCTGAAACCAGAAAACCTCCTCCTGGATGAGAAGAACAACATCAGGATAGCAGACTTTGGCATGGCCTCATTGCAAGTGGGCGACAGTTTGTTAGAAACAAGCTGTGGGTCAGTATCAAACAAGAATTTATGTTTATGTTTATTTGTCAAATATGGGACTTGTGTTAGTACAGCAGGTAAATGTGCCATAGTTAGCCATGTAGGCAGATTTTCATATGTAGTGATAACAAGACAAAAAACAGCATATAGGCACAGTAACATTTAGGGAGACATTAAGATCAGTGAATATTAACTATAGTGACCTTAGTAAAAGTAGAACATGCAAAAAGCACACACAGTACACAGATTAAAGACAACAGACACAAATCACAATCACACAACAAGAAGGAAACATTTGCTATGTGATGTCAAAACACACAGATATTAATCATTGTTGTGTTCACATTATAAATGAGCAGGCTCTTATTGAATACAGACATTTGAATATGAAAAACCATAGGTCTTAAAATATATAAAGAACTAAAATAAATAAAAAATCCACTCAAAAAGATAAAGCTTTTTTTTTTTTTATACATACACTGTGCCAATTGAGTTTCTTTTTTTATTTTCAATAACGAAAAGTTTTATCAGAAAAAAAAAAAAATCTAAACGCACATTTGTTGCTTTTATCACTTAAGTCAGTATTCACTAATGTAGTGACATTGTTTTGTTATGTATGATGACTTAGTTGCCATCACTTAGTCAAGATAAATGAAAGACAAAACAAATACTATTTTTCGTGTGTACCTTTTCTTTGCACTAACTTTCAGATATTTTTCAGTACTGTGGTTAGATTTGAGCTGTAGAGGGTTGAAAAAAATAACTACTATGACTCATTATTGATACAAACTAAATACTACAGTGTTTCATTCTGCTATTTTTAATAGTTAAGTTATTTTTTTTTAGATAATCCTGCTTTAGAGTTGTTGCGTCAGTGGCATAAATTCATTTCAATATTATAGTTTATATCTTTTTTTTTTTTAATAATCAAGGAAATAAGCACTTCGAAATGTGTTAATGTGACCAACCTACTTGTCCCTTTTTCTTTATGAATGTGTTTTATTTCTTAATTATTTATATTATTTACACTTTTGTTTTAGATCTCCACATTATGCCTGTCCAGAAGTCATACGGGTAAGCAGTAACATATTTAAATTACTTACTAAATGTACAG